GGCGGGGGGGGGTTGCGTGGCCCCCAGATCTGTGCAAGGTGGGGCAGCTGCCACTGCAGGCTGGGGCCAGGACTGAGCTCTTTCTAGTGGGGGCTGAGCTGGGCTGGGCTGTGCTGTGCTAGGGTCGGGATCCGGCGCTGGGAGCAGGGCAAGCAGCAGCCACCCCAAAATTCTACAAAAGGCAAGCAATATAGGAAAAGAGAAAAGATACCATGCTCTTCCTTTAGGAACATAAAAAACATTTTCAGCCATTACCTCTTTATCCTTTTTACTCTTCTTTATTTTCATCTTTATCTTTTTTCCTGTTATCATACTGTAGTTTTCATTTTTCTTTTTGTCTTTGAAGTACTAAAATGAGATCAGACACCAATTTATGGTACACTATAAAAGGCACCTTTCAAAACAAAGTCTAGTTAGTAGGACCTCGATAATGCAAAGGGTAGATTCCTTAGCCCTTGCAGAGATGAGGGTTTCTTCAGCCACAGCAAAAAGCTGAGCAGGATCCCTAAGGTGTTTGAGCTGAATGTTGAAGAGCTTCCCTTAGAAGTAGAAGCTTCATTTAAACAATCATGCATCTCATCCTTGACTCAACAGCCTGCTGCAAACTAAGCATAGTGCAAATCATCTGAACATGGATGGTCTGGACACTACCGTATTAATTAAAGGACAATGGGTTATTGTGGAGGGAACTGGCCCCTGTTTGCACACTCTGGATGGCAGTAACTAGAGATGCTATTGCTAAGGGTGTTTTCTGGGAAATAATTTCTTTGGTAAAAACCTGGATATGGGAAGGACTAGTTTAAATGTGGGAGGGAATTAAACAAAAATATAATGGGACATTATTAAACAGACTCTGGCACATGTACCTTGGAAAGTTGAACAGGTCCTGATTTCTCTCGCTTTTTCTTCTTTTCTTTCTTTTTCTTCAACTTATTCTCTTTTTTCCTTCTCTACAAGTATAAAGGTATGTGCAAACTCCAGACTACTCACAGAGGTGCAAAGAAATAAAACACCAACCCACATATGTATGAACTCACAAATAGCTTGCTACTATCCTGATAGTCACTTTTGCCTTTGCTCACTCCACCCTCATCCCAACTCTTGTAGAATTAATTGAGGATGGTGAAAAAATAGTATTTGTTAAGGCTAATGGTCATCTTTGGAATGGTGATGGTGATCCCTTACTCCAACCTTACTGTCTGTTTCTTTACCATCTCTCTAGGCCACTGACAGATGTTCATTTAAAGTCAAAGTGGGATCTGATCCCTGAACCATGCCTTCTGCCATGCCACACACAGATCAGATCCAACTGTGAACTACCTGCAACTGCAGGGGAACCTCTTGTTTGAGCCTCAGTGTGGTCCCAGAATCAGCTAACAATTGACTGATTGCAACTGGTGAGGACAATATCAGGGGATGATTGGAGACCACAGTAAAGTCCTAAATTCTGCCACATGTTCAATTTAAGGTACAATGGAAACCAGTCACAAAAATATTACACAATATATTTTATTATTTCATATTACATTTTTCTGTAATATTTTTGTGGCTGGTTCCCCCTTTTGTGGTAGCATTAATTCTCTGAAAGTGTGGCTGGATTGCTATTTAAGACATGATCAACAGGCTAATTGCATCTTAAGTGTAACATTTGCCAAGGGCCTAAATATTTATAACCTCTAAAAAAGAAGATACTATAGAAAGAAGAAGTATTAGGACAATATAATCTGAATTTGTTATTCTCTCTCTCAGCTGATGACACATTTTCTTAATGGACAACACACTTACGCCTTTTATGCTTGAACACATTTGGGAGAGCTGAAGCTAACATACTCTTAAACCTGTTGGTGAGTCTGCACCCCTTTTGGTGCTACAAAATGACAGTGGTCTGCAGATCTATAAAAAAGGTAAAACTGTCTTCGGTCATAAATACATTTTGGTCTTTTTACTGCTGCACAGGTACTATAGCAGTATAAAATGATGTTTTTATATAGTGCCACCCCCACAAAGACACTCAGAAGACATTTAACAAGTTAATACAGTGGCTATAAACACAGAGATAACTCAATAATAGATGCAGTTGTAATATTGTTACTGATCAGCCCTTGGCTATGGAATGCATTAACAGCAAGGTCAAGGAACTAGGACTCCCTACTTCTTTCAAGGAGTGCCTTAAATTCTAGCTGGACCATCCCAGATATTAGTAGATAGAAACCCCTTTTATTTTCTCTTCTGAAAAATAGCAAATTATGTATTTTAAATATCAATTCATCTACTACCATCATAAAAATGAAATTCTTTTTCTACCACCATGATGTACATGGATAGACAAATGAATTTGCCTTGACCCAATATACCAATTTTATATGTACCAGAATTCAGTGATATCTAAAATTGTCTGTCTGGATAGTTACTTATTTCTCTCAACAAGTGTTTACCTTTTTGTTGTGTTTTTCCTTCTTCCTTTTCTTTGATTTGGACTTGGGAGAATCTGAAAAAAACAACCTGTAAATGTTAGGATCTTGAAAATATGGATTTGTTTTGCAGATAAAAGCATTTGGAATGAGTGCCACATGAAAGGCATTTCAAGTGCGAGTAAGACAAAAATGCCCTTGCTGGGCTAAACATTAGGGGTGTGTGAAATGGGCCATATTTGATTTGGATTCGGCCTGAAATTGGGGACGGTGATTCAATTCGTTGATTCGGATCATTGTCCTTGATTCAATTAGGCCAAATACGAATCTGAAGATTTGATGCTGATTTGGAGAATCAGCGATTCAGCCACAGACACAACTTTAAATGTTTTTTCTACATATCTCGAGGTACCAGTGAGGCTTGTGAATGCTGCAATGCTGGGGCAAATGGAGCATCCCACAGGAGTGCGGGGGGCTGCTCCCTGCATGCTCAGCAGTGAACCCGGAAGTGGACCAGAAGTGCTTCTGGTCTACTTCTGGGTCTGCTGCTGAGAGCACTGGGGAGCCCCCTGTGCTGCTGTGGGACACTCTATACATCCCACCATCGCAGCACTTTTAAGCCACCTGGTACCTTGAGGTATGTAGAAAAAACATTTACAGCTGTGTCTACATCCAAATCATTGAATCTTTCTGAATCTCTGCGAATCGATTTGGAGGGTTCCGATTCAATTTAAAGGGTCTCCTGATTCAATCTGGAAATTCGGCCACCGAATCGGGCCAAATCTCTGCCTAATTGAATCAGGGACTGAAGCTTCGCACAGCCCTACTAAATATACTCTGGAAAAAATAAAGCCTGAAAAAAATAGGATACATGAATTGTACTTTCCTGCCACCTAGTGGTCTAAGATAGACATTAAAATATACAGTTCACTGGCAATGATTACTTGGAGTAGACCAATATATTTATATTATTTCAAAAGTAGAATATGTACACATGGTACAATTCATGCTTCTCCTGCAATAACCCTGGATGGAGGAATGCTGTGTTAATATATCTACTCTGCTTCTGATACCTGAGCTGACTTGGATACCTCATGATACTACATTGTGCCATGTAGACTTAAATGTATTATTTATTGGTTTCTGCAGATTATGCACAATTCCAAATTTCCCCAGAAGCACTAACAAAGAGAGATCTTGAACTTGCTTGATCATGATAATGAAAAGAGCTCTACTGATTTCAGGGGGAATTTTCATACGTTAACTACACACATTGAAACGTTCTACTGTACATTCTACTGTGTTAGGGTGGGGAAAGGAACTAAAGCAAAAACCACAACAACAGCTAACAGGACTAGTATCTTTAGCCCCAAAACTGTAGAACTTTGCTGCCCAGCTCTGGGCCAGGGTTCCTGTCCTCCACTCTGCCTCAGCTGGATTTCAAAACACTTCAAAGCTAGTGTTTGTAGCTCATATATCTTTCCATTTTCTTGCAGCCTCAGGCTTTATTTAATCACAGTTGCTTTCTACACATTCTGCTGTATTAGGGTGAGGAAAGGGCTAATGCATTCTGTTTAATCTGAAGCACTCCTTCCTTACAAAAAGGGCAATGTAGTCATTTTGCTCATGATACTCCTACATACCAGAATGTTTCAAACCTCTCCATCCCAAAACAATGTATTTATCAGCATAACATTACCTAAACATATTCCCCAAGACCAAAGTTGACAATTCCAAATTTCCCCAGAAGCACTAACACAGAGAGATCTTGATCTCACTTGATCGTGATAATGAAAGGAGCCCCACTGAATTCAGTGGGAATATTCACACGTCAGCTACACACACTGAAATGTTTGCATGATCAAGACCAAAGTGCAGATTAAACCACCAGAAACCTTAACTGTAGCCTGCTTGGTATGTAAAGGGAAACGGGGTTTCTAACTATTTCACATGAATATATAGAAATATTAAAATTTATATAGTATCTAATTGAGAAACCCCTTTAGTAAAAGGAAAGTTATTTCTAGCAACATTTAAATTAACAACTCTACAGAATGAACGATGTACCAGCAGGCACTTGACCAGCTATAGGAAGTGGTTACATGAAAAAAAAAAAAAAAAAAAAAGCCTGAAGAAAGTATACAGTCTTGTTGCCTGTACAGTCATTTCCCAGCAGTGTAGGGGTAAAGCTTCAAATATTTGCATCACTGCTCCTGATACGTATAACCACCATCTGATAAATATTCACCGAAGTGAAGCAGTAGCAACCTACCTCTGCTTCTTGAGGAGGAGGAGGAGGAAGACCTTGATGAAGAGTGTGAAGAGGAGGAGGAAGTAGAACTACTACTAGAGGATGATGTAGATGAAATAGATGATGATCGGCTTCGGCTGCGTTTTCGCTTCCTCTTTTCTCTCCCTGAGGAGAAAAGGTTCATTAGGTTTAAGCAGCAACACAAAAGCTGATAACAAGCACAGAAGAAACATTTTCATGTAAATTAAAAGTTATGGTAAGATTAATCAATGTATTATTTTCTCATTGAACTTTATCTTCTAAAGGTTCCACTTTCAACGTATTTGACTGCTGAGCAATGCAATCAAACTTTTTAACTCAAGTACAGTACACCACAAATAAAACAAGACTTCTAATACTGCAGCTGTTGTCACAGATTAAGATTGATATAATAACTCCCACCTCTGACTTTCACCTCTTCCCGCGATGTTGCACAAATTGTTCTGCTTCTCTCATCTTGCCCTTCCTCCATTGCTAGGAGAAAAAACCCCCCCTACATATTAGTATTTTTATCAACAAAAAGGCTTTTTTGAAAGAGCACAGAATAGTAAGAAAATAAGGCAGAAAGAAGCTTCAACAGGACATTTAGTCTGTTCCTCAGGCGCAAAGCAGGAACAACTCTGCCTCCAGATCATCCAGATATTTAATGAAACTCTTCTTAAAAAATGTCCAGTGATGTTGATTCAGCAAGCTATCTAGGTAGCCCATTCCAGTTTTTTACTATCTTTAGTTAGACGGGTTTCCCTGATATCCAACCTATATCTCTCCTGCTGCAAATTAACCCCATAGTTCTTGTCCTCCACAAATGGACATGAAAAAAGACGTATAAAACCTTCTATACTTCAAGAATTATCCTGTTTCCCAGTTGTTTCAATCTTTCCTCACAGCTCTTGTTTTCTAAAACTCTGATAATTTCCTTTACTTTTCACTGGGTTTTGTCCAATGATTTGCATTTTTCTAGAAGTGTGATGTCCAAAAATGAATGAAATACTCAGCTGAGGCCTTGTCAACAGAGTTGAAAAAAATTATACAGAATATTCCTCTATATCCCAGTTTCTTATTGGTTCTTTTCACAAAATTATGACACTGTTGACAAAATTATGACTGATTAACTTTGTGATCTACTACAACTTCTAGATCCTTTTCTACAGAACTGCCTCCCACCTATTTGTTCTCCAAGTTATATTCATACAATAATTATTCCATCCCCAGTGCAGCATTTTGCACTTGTCCTTTTTGAATTTCACCCTATTTTTCTCATTTTTTAAAATGCTGTCAAGATCATTTTGCTTTTTAATCCTGTTTTCCAAAGTGCCTGCAATTCCCTTCACCTTGGCAACACCACAAATTTAATAAATGCACTCTCTACCCTATCACTCAAGTCATTAGTGAAAATATTGAACTGAACTCCAGAACCCCATGATAAATTCTCCCAGTGAATTATTAATAGCTACTCTTTGAGTACGGTTTTCCAACCAGTTGTCTATACACTATCCAGCACTTCCTCTAGACTATAGATCTTCAGTGCTTAGCCATGGGCCAGATCTGGCCTGTGGAGCCATGTAACCAGGCCCATGGAGCTCCCCAAGGATCTGGAAATTTGGTGTTGGGAGAGTAATAGCAATTAACACTGGCAACATTCCTTCACTGCCAAATTTCCAAACCCTGTGGGCCAGATAAGGCCCTGTGCATGGCATCTGGCCAGTGTGTAGGGCCAGGGGCGCGGCCCAATCGAGTGTACTTGGGGTCAGAGCTAGGGTGAAGGGACTTTTCCAGTGCATGTGGAGCTGGGGGGCAGGCTCGATCTAGTATGCACAGGGTCAGGGCATGAGTAGCGGGCTTGATCTGGCACTCATGGAGCTGGGGCAGTGGGCCTGATTTGGCACATATGACAGCATGTTCAGGGCCAGGGCCAGGGCCTGATCTAGTACTTGGGGCTGGGGCCCAATCTGGCCTATGCCAGATTGGGCTGGGGTGCTAGGTGCATTGGATGGGCCCATGAACTAGATCCAGTCCGCACACTCATCCTGCACTACTTATCCAGCCTACAGGGCTCAAAGGTTGGGGATCTCTGCTCTAGACCAGGAATTCTCAACAAAGGTATTGCAAGATCCTTTTAAGGTTGGCGTACAATATTAGCATGGTTAAAAACATGCAAACACCTTGATGGGATTTACATGGTAAAGCCAGAGATTTCAAATAGGAATCCAGTGTCAAAAACTTTCTGACATGTTGCAGGCTTTCCGAGCTTTTTCAACAGAAGAAATACAGAAGACTACATTTTCCTAGAAAAAAAAATGAGTGGAAGCTAAGAACTAACATTTTCTGAGAGATGCTTGGGCCTAAAGAGGGGTATTTTGAGTCGAAAAGGTTTAGACTGTTTTCTTTAAGTCCATTGTCTTTATTATGCTATTTCCGCCTTCCCCTTTCTAAAATAATTTTTTTAAATCATTTCCTGATTCACTGTCATAGAAGATTGATGTAAAGTGGTGGCAGAGATCAGGGAATGTTTCTTTGATTTATGCCTATTATCTAGGCTAACTAAGAAGTAAAATGTAAAAATTATGAAACTACAAGATGATGAAATGCAGTTAGAATCTAATTCTGACATGATAAGAATAAGCCAAAACCCAGTGCATGTGCATAGGTGAATACAAAGATATTACACGTGAATGTATTTTTGGTGTGCATATAATATTTAGAAAGGTGCCCTTATTACACAAGCAAGTTTTCATGCAAAACTTATACATGCATCATTTTTTGAAGTCTGTTTTAAAAACAATTATTGCAGGCCTTTGAGCTTATAGCTTTTTTTTTGAAAGACTCATGGCCTATATGTTTTCCATCCAGAAGACTTAACACAAAAGATTTCCAGCTAAATACAAAAAGAGTCACTGAAATTCAGCCAGCTTTGGGATGAAGTGGGAGCAGTCAAACAGACCATCTGTTGCTCAGCAGTGATGGAGGAAAGAAAATTTTGACTGGCATAACAGAATCCCTTCACATACACAAAATGTCATGTTGTCTGTAACAGCTTTGCATAATATAAGGAAACATGCTGTAAGTAGCAAGCCTAGATTGGCAGAAAAACAATGAAGGGGATGATCTGACCTACCTAAGTTTTATGACTGAAACAGAAAGGACTGCTGCTCTGCATCTGCACTGGCAAGACATGCTGAAAACGACACAAAACTCATACCTTGTCTACCCTCAAGGTACTGTGTATTACACTAACAAGATGTTCGCACTGGAAATTTGTTAAATAACTATCAAGAACACAAACTGTTTTAAATGAGTTTTACTTAAGCTTCCAATTCATGGCAACCCTGGCACAGGTCACTAAAATGTTAATAGATCAAGGGAAAATAATTCATTTTAGTGGCTGGTTTATTAGACGCATGATGTGAGTTCAGCCAAATTCTGAACCCAGGTGCCCTGCTACACATTCAGATGAAAACTGGATTGAAACCAGCTAGAGTTGCTACACTTTTTCAAACACTAACTTTACAGCTGCTCCGCTCTTTTTTATAGTTGGATAGACCTCTTTATTGTGCACTGATGATTACGCTGCATGTGTGGCCAATCTGAAGTTATGGCAAGATTCACCAGAGAATGGCGCAATTGTTACTTTGCACGTGTGGCTGGTCTAAATTTATGGTGAGATTCACCAGCAAATCATGGAATACATGTAATGTGTAGCAGGGGCCTTCACACCCTCCAGCATAACAGAATGGGAAAGTTTGCTTCCTTCAGAAAAAGTCCTTTAATTTCTTGCACGAAATGTGCTGGACAAACGTGGCTGTTACGCATAGGGTGGCCATCACAGAAGACAGTCCACTGTCCTCTACTGATATGAAACCAGATGCCTTTATGTCTAGTTTTGCTCTTGACAAGAAAAATAGAGGACACAAAGGCACTGTGTTTCGTATTAATAGATGACAGGAGTAGCAGAAATATGGAATGTCCCTAGTTATGCAGCATCTATCTAATCTCCACTGAAGCAGCTCTAGGAAGGGGAAGGGAACAAGGCAGGAGGATTAAAATGTCAAAGCCCCACTATGCTTATGAGCTAAACCAGCAGCGTCAAACCTAGGGCCTCGGAGCCAGAAAGGTGTCACCTGGAGGGGGCAGGAAGGCAGAGGATGGGGGCTCAGGCTAAAGGGTGGCACAAGCAACAGGTGCGTGAACCCCGCAGCTTCCTGATGCCCCTCCCCCTTTGCCACCTGCAAAGGCCCCCAACGGCCAACTCCGCCCCACCCCTTTCGAACGCCGGCGGAGGCGGTTAGTGACAACAGCGCCCGGCGGGCGAGGGGAAGCGGGGCGCGAGCGGGAGTGAGGATAGCGCGTGCCGATAGCAATTCGGCTGGGGAGGGGGGAGGAGGCCGGAAGCTACCGCGCGAGCCAGGGCGAGCCCCCTACCCCCCGCCCAGGCCCGGCCCTGCGCCCACAGAGAGCGCGGGCAGCACATCCACTGCCGGCACTTACCCGGCGCCCGCAGGGGCGGGGAGAGGAGCTTGGCCCGTCCCGGCCTCTCCGTGACCCGGAAGCAGTAGCCAGCTTAGCTGCAACGGGAGGGCCCCGAGACCGGAAGTGAGTCTCATGTTCGTGACGACAATGGCGGGGAGGGACGGGCTCCCCCAGGGGAACCCCAGCCCCCCAGCGGCGCTCCCCCCACCCTCCAGTCGACCTGCGGGGGAGGACGTAGTCTTCCAGTGACGCGTGAGCCTGGCTTGCGCGAGGGCGGTTCCCTTAGTCCTTTCCGCGCATCAGTGGACTGTGCCCGCCAGCAACGGCCGAGGGGGGAGGGGAGAATCCACGGGGTCGCGCCCAGGGCTTTGCCGCAGGAGAGGAGGCGGTCTGGCGTTTCCCCCAGGCGCACACACTCCTGTGCCCTTCCCCCCACATTCTTGTGCCAGGCCCCACTTCGAGGGGAAACCCACTTTCCACCCCCCTTCCCCCCACCCTGAGTAATAACCAACAGCCGCTCCTCCGAGGGTAGCAAAATCCACGCTTTATTCATCACTTACTTTGCTGGTACAGAGACGATGTGGGACTGGGGGGGGGGGAAAGAACACCAGGGTTTCC